GTGATCACAGTGATCCCTTTCATGCACAGAATTGTCAATATATATATTCTTCCAAATCATTTATTTAAAGATGCTCCTTAAAACAATCTAAATGTATCAAAAACAAAAATAATATATCGATAAACCTTTTCTTTGGCTGCCATGGAGTAATGGAACTTGTTAGCAATTTCCTTCCCTCTCTTTCCTCCTCTCTTCCGTCCTTTTTCGCTCTCTCTCACTGAGCTGGGATTACATCCCCCTGCCTCCAGTAGGGATAGTTTCATATCTCTTCACTAAATGCTAACAGTTCCATTAAGCACAACGGAGGACTCATTTAGAGGTCACATTTGTTTCGCTCAACTTCCCTTGTCATCCGCATACCAACCGAGTGGCTGTCTCTTTCAGCTTGGATTCCTGTTATCTGACATGACCTTTCTGCTTTGAACTAATTGGTAAATTGCTGTGGACTTTTTCATTCTAATTCATCTCCCTTTAACGACATGGCTTTACAAAAATGTCCCTATTTTTTTTTATTTTTGCACTGTGTATTAGTTGTTCTCAAGCATGCCTGCAAAATCCACAGTGTTTCATTTATGATATCATAGTATGCGCCATAATACTAGCTACAAGGCATCAGGCTGGTGGTATTTTTGCTTGTGGCTAGTTTAAACATGACAACCAAATAATTCAATTTAGCCAGTGAATCCATAAACCTACGTGACATCTCATTTATGGCCTTGATAATCCACTGCCCCAAGTCACGATTAGCTTAGTAGCCAGCTTCACATTATTTCCGCAACAGTTTATGGTGCAGCGTTTTAATAAACTAATAATATCTTCCAGAATGCCCAACAAGGTCACTGCAAACCAGACATAGGATGGAGAACCTTTATGTTAGCGAGGTGTACATTTTATTACCGCATGCTGAGGGAGTTTTGAGAATACAGTCAAGGCGCAACAGAAACAATGTGTGCATTTCCAATAGAAAATAACCTTATGAATCAAAACAAAGGGAAAAGGCAGGTCTGGTATGAGCTCCAAGAACTCAGCATACAGGTTTAAACAAGTTTTTCAATGTTAAGTTGTAATAAAATAGAAGTTTTTCAGCCACCAGCACCAACTAGTTTATGGCTTCATCTCCACATAGTAATAGAAGTGCAAAACATGTCTGAGGCCCATGTGCCAAACAACGTCCCCAGCCTGTATTGCAACACCTTATGTGCCCTACTAGAGATGGGAGAACAATGTTCAGGTGCCCTAGGGTCTCCTTACTAAACATTTGAGTGCACTTGGCCTGCCTGGCATACATCCTGCCAGCTTCTACAAGTCACCACCAGGTGGGGATCACTTAACAGCTCAGGTCTTCTATTTACCCAAGTATCCGAGTCATTTGGTTGTAAATCTGATAATATGATTACAAATGAGTCAATCCATAACCACAAAATTCCCTAGTGTAATACCCACTTATGAACATGTTTAGGTTAGAACATGGTGGTAGGAGATATAGTAAATATTTCTTATCAACCAAGTGATATCACCTTATATACTTATATCTATACTTGTGCCCCAACTGCTCGCCTTGTCCAAGTGTGTGACCCTAACATTTCTGTCATAGCCAAACATAGGTTATGGCAGGTCCCATGAGTTCCTATTCTTGACTTTACATCATTTGGTGATTCATCACCATTCATCATATTTATCACATTTATTTATATCGGCAAAACACATTGATGCTAATTGAAATATATTAACCAAAAAGTCAGAGGTTTGCTTTTAATAGGGCAGTGAAGGTTTAAGCTGCACAGCCAGTCAGACAGAAAAAAAACTGCAGGAGCAAATGCTTCCCACTGGCTGCCACTTACCACTAATGTTAGAAAAATGATAAATTAGTTCCGGCATGCTGTCTGGAGTCTATGTGTTCACGTGGGTGTGTATGTCTGCCAGTGAATGCTTCCTTCCTGTAAAGTGTTGTGTCGCATGCCAGGAGTTCACAGTGTGAACAGATGTTAGTCAGTATTGCCCTGGGTTTCTGCACCACAGTCAGGCATTTTTTAGGGTCCTCGGCTCTGAGGAGGAGTCCGTGGAGATGCCTGAATTGCTTTATCGAGCGGAACACAACTAAGGACACGCAGGCTCACAGCAGCTGCCAAGAACACACACAGACATGCGAACACAAACACAGCATTTGCTCCAAGCATGTGCAACACAAACCCCCAAACAGCTGGGATACAAAAAATCCACACATTTGGTATAATAATATAAACAAACACACACAACTCTGTAGAATAAGCACTCTTAAGTTAACTTTCACCCCAGCATATCTCTTACAGAGTAATGGCTTAACTGCTGACTGAATATGGCAGCTGTAGCTTGAACCCCACAGGAAACCCTGCTCCAGACAATATGGACTATCAGAACTGGAATAATCTAAAATTTGAAAGGATAACGAGAAAACACGTTTTAATACAATCTCCTTTTAATACAACTCTCATGACAGTTTCGTTTTTAAAATGTAATACTTTGCTTCATTACAATAACACCTACCAACACTTTCCATATTTAGCTGCTGCTTGTCACTGAGACACAGATGAAGGAAGAGAAAATAACTGGTGATGTTGAAGACCATGGGAAAGGTTTAAGCTGTCTCTTTAGATAGCATCATATTCTCTCTGATCATTCACAGTTATACTGCAAAGACTAATATCTATACTTAGGCTTGCATGCATCCAAAGAAACTGGCTCTTTTGGAATGAAAGATAATGCCAATCAAAGTGACAGACAAAATAAATAAAAATGGTCAAACTCAGAGGTGTGTTTATACATAAGTACATAAAGGGGGACAAACGCACATCACAAACGCACTGATTTGACACACGCTGACACATAAGGATGGATGTGGACTCACTGTCATATAGTGAGCTGTCAGCACACAAGCACTAGCTAAGCCAATGCTATATCTGATGTGATAATCATGACATAACTGTGAGATGACAGCAGACAGAGTATTGGTGGCCCAGACACATGCATTTGCAGGCATAAATGCACCAAACAGGTGTTCAGATAAAACAAGAGTAAATGTTGCAGAAAGTAAGATTCTTGCTGAATTTTAATTTGAAGACTCAAGCCAAGAAAATGTAAATCAGTTCAATTCAGTTGTATTTGTAAAATGCCACAACAGTTGCAAGTATATGTGTGAGAGTGATAGGGCCTATGGTAGTTTTAGTCAGGAGATAAAGATGCTCCAAAAGAAAAAACTCTCTGAAAAATATTTGCATATATGTAGACATCCCATCCACATGGCTCCATAGTTCCTAAAAAGTATTTGAAACCACATATAATGATGAATAATAGGGTAAATTTTTCTTTAATGGCTTGACATGAATTACCAATCCAAACAAATTATAGTATCAATAGTAACAACAGCAGAGCACTTTAAGGTAATGCAAGTCATCAGATATTATTACAATATGTAATTGTACCATCTTGATATACTGTGCTGATTTCCATCAACCCATTTTCTTAACTGGTTATCTAAGTGAGGGTTGCAGTAGGGCTGGTGTCTATCCTAGCACAGATGAGAGGCAGGGTACACCCAGGAAAGGCTCTCAGCCAATCACAGGTCTAAAACACAGCGACAGTTATTCATGCTCAAATTCAGTTAATTAGCAAATTGATTATTTAATTAATTTTCTCACAAAAGCACATTGAGGTTCCAGAGCTGAAGGTTTGAACCGTGTTGTCTCGTTGTTGCTGTGAGGTGAGACTGTGACACTCCAATGTAAAAGTTACAAATCTCAGTTTCAGTCTTTGATGATGGCACTGGGGTTATTTTTGAAAGACTGTCAAGTTATATTTATGAGTAACCAAATTCAAACACTACCCTAGATAGGAAGCCTCTGAATTTATCCATAAAAAGAGTTCCATCTTAGTCTCAGCTCAAATAAATAAAGTTCAAAAGTCTCTTTTTTGCTGCAGTTTGTCTTCACCCCTCAGGTGTGCGTACTTATGCAATCAGCTGCCTGAGGGAGTCAGATGGATGTTGAATGCATATGAACTTGACTCTCTGACATGACAGCAAATTTCATACAAACTCAACAAAACACAACTAAACAGGCACACAAAAACCCAGAACACACAAAAATATATTTTCACCACCTTTCCACTAAACTTAACTTTTTTTTTTCAAAAGTGAAAAGTGATGTGAATGCAAAAAGAAGCTCATTCTGTTTGAAGAAAGGTTCAGATACTCTTTATACTCGTTATCTCTTTATGTTAAGCGCTCTCTTTTCTCTTTTTTATCTAAAAATAATTACTCAACACAAAGGTCAGACCTACGTGTATGACTGAGGTCGTATTTCAATGGGTTTTGGGACTAATATGTTGATAAATATTATAATAATATAAAAAGCTTTCAATAGAGCATAATCAAAATAAAGTGGTTTTGTGGCCATGTAAATATGTGGGGGAACGTGTGCATTGTCATACCTTCAAGTAAAGACAAAGCATTTGTGATGCATAAACACTGATAAACACTCCCAAAGCTTCCCTCCATGCACCCATGCAGAAATCATCCTTGATGTGCCAGCTGTACGACGTGTACAGTGTATGTGTATGAAGTGAATGTGGCTAAACTGTGTGTTATGTGTGAAAGTCTACACAGCTGTGTGGTACAGTGTTATTATTTCATACACCCATCTATAGTATGTGTGCAAACCCCCCATTAACCAAGTGTTAATTACTCCATGCTCAAGTATGTATTTAAAAATAAAAATGAGACAGGTGTGTACTTTTTTGTGATTGATTTAACCTTTAAAGTGAGTGTCGTCCCAATCTATCCAGCTTACAAATGCACCCAACAGCAGGAGGAATGCTGTCCTTTGCTAGCAGCATTATTTTATAAGGCAAAGAAGAAAATGGGCATACTGTAGTGCATTCATGTCATATTTGAAGTTGAAGATGTACAAAGATGACATACTACAAACACACACACACACACACAAACACAGAGGTTTTCTTGGTACCTAATGCTGCTCATGCTGCCTGCTTCTGATCCCAGCTTGCATCTCTCCAGCTGGGTGGCAACAATCTGACGCTCAGCCTCAAGTTCCCTGGTCAGACGCTCAAACTGAAGCTCCTGATGGAAGACATAAAAAGAAATTGCGTGTTAGGCGGAACATGAGAGAGAATGAGAGAGAGGAAGAAAGAAAGAGACAGAGAGCACTCGGGGTCTGCAGAGGAAGTCAGGTATTATAGGTCATCGAAACAGCTTATGGCTGGAAGACGGCTCTAAAAAAGTTAAAATAATTGTGCTATCAAACTTGACTGACAGGTGAGAAAAATGTGTTAGGCAATGTGTAGGCAGAGTGTTGTGTTGAAAGTGTTCTAAATATGTGAGCAAAGAATCGCTTCAATCCCAGCGACTGTGTGGCGCTCGAGGGTCATGAATGTGAAGATATTTGTGAAATTAATTAAATGTATCGCTCCCAAATAAAGTGTGTTCCTATTTGGCAGGTTAGACAGTTAACAATGTCATTTACTGAAAAAAAAAAAATCTACTGGTGGGATTCTGTCTTTTTTAATCAATTTTAGGTATTTGTATTTTGAAACCTTTGTATTTAATGAAAAAATGCATTACTGCAGATGAAATTCTGTCACAAATCCTGACAGTAAAACAACCTGAGTCCTGACAACTTTGCAATATAATTAAATTTACTCTCATATTATCACAGCCACATTAAAAAAAAGCTTTATGTGTACTCTGTGGATTTAATGGTTCTGTTGCTACAGATAGAGAAGGCTTTTCAGTGAGTACAGTTTGGTGGGTTGCAGGTTACTGTCAGGATTTTAAGACAGAAATCGATGGGGAGAACTGCTTGTGCCGATTATATATCACTCTTAACCAAAACTTGCCTGCGTGTGCATGTGTGTGTTGATGCATTAGCTATTTAAATTCCCGTTCTGTCAGTCATCATGATCTCCAGTCACTAAACACCCTGTATCCTCCATTTCCACACATACCTGTTTCTGTGGTAGAATCACTATGGTGATCACTCTGAGGTTTTTTTCAGCTTTTCTGACAGCTTTGTGTTAATACTTAAACACTGAAAGAAAGATCTATTTGCCTTCACTGGGATAGGGGCTTGTATCCATTTGTGGAACTGTAGCCTAACGTTTGTATTGTTAACTGACAAATACAGTACAATGCACACACACACACACACACACACACACACACACACACACACACACACACACACACACATATACACACACACACACACATATATGTTTCAGAGGTGTAAGTATTCTGAAGCCCATTTTAGACCCATTCCATTTTGTTAATAACTCACTCAGTTTCAGCCACCTCTATGATTTGCAAAGTAAGGTAATGCTGGAAATTTGAGCAGAGTCTATTAAACCCTCTGGGCCTGTAATTCCAATTTACGACTTTGTTTTACAGCAAGGTGCCTCTCTTCAAAGCTCTGCTCTGTTCTGCTCCCCAAAGAGACTGCTTTGTCACCTTGTTTGCCATAGATGCAACTTGTTTAAATCCTCAAGGTGCAAAAATGCAAATCCCTGTACCGAAAGTAGCATTATGCTAATTGATGATGTATTATGCCTCAATGGTAGAGTATCTTAAACACCTTCTGAGGTAACATGGTAATGTCTGAATGCTAAACCCAAAGAGAAACCTGTTAGGCAAGTTACAGTTAAATTATGCATAACCCTTAGTCACAGCTTTCTTTCATTCATATCCCTCCGTCTTAGGCACTGCTATGTTAGTGATATATAATAACACTTTGAGGATAAAACTGTTCAAACACCTTTTTTTTAATCTTAATTTATTTAATCTGTTTTTTATTTTTTTCATCCAATCAATACTGTTCTTCTCATGTTTTCTGTTTTATTTATTTCATTTGTATTTCATGTGTATTTTTTTGCCTTGTGTAAACTGCTATGGTGTTCTTTATTATGTCTTTTATTCATCCTTCTGTAAAACACTTTGGTCCATTGTGGTTGTTTTGAAGCACTTTACAAATAAAGCTAGTATGGTATGGCATCAGAAAGTTTCCCATTACTGAATTGGCCAAAGGACAGTTTGCGTTTACCAGATGACAGAGCTCGGCTGACTTGTCTAAGTACATGCCATTATATATTCTTATTAGCTAGAGCTACAAGGCAGCAAAAAGCATACTTACAGCTTATTACAAAAACATTTAGGAGTTTGTGCTCAACTAAAATTATGAACAGAATGCCTTTCTTTTATACGGTCAGTAAACGCAGCAATGACAAAGCTCTTGGCAATCAGAAATTGTCAATTAAAAGGAGAGCTGGCTGCACTCATGCAAAAGTTTGGGCAACTCTAATCAAAACTTTCAATTGGTATGCAGGTATAAGATCAACTAAATTTATAGTTGGGAAAGCCTCTTCAAAGGAACTCCTTAACCTTCTACGTGTTTGTATAATTAAAAGATGTAAGCTATCAGAAATGATGGAGGTGAAGATGAGCTTTGGAGTTCTACACCTCGATAAAGTCTCGATAAAGTTAAAATAGAACTTTTTGGCCTTAATGAGCAAAGGTGTGTTTTCAGAAAAAAAAACGTATGTTGGAAGTAACACCTTTCGAACCATTAAGCACGGGGGTGTTTGAGGGTTGTGTTGCACTCAGTGACACAGGGAATATTTAACTTGTAATTAAATATTAACAAATTCTGACAGCAAACATCACAGTGGCTGTAAAAAGTTAAAGAGTGTGTCCCTATTCCAAACCAGTCCTTACACCTTGACATGTGTTAGTCCAAGTGGAGTGGTGGTGAAGGATTTGTTAATTAATCCTTGGAGAAAAAATATAACAAACATGTGTCTTTCTTTCATATATATCAAATTATATAGTAGGGAATATATATTATTTACAAGCTTCTCTTTACCATCTGTATTTGCTGGAAACATTAAAACTGGCCAACTGGCTCTATGACTACATTTGCTAATTACTATGGATGCAGGGAAAGGATAACTGTTTTGATCCACTGGTAAAGCATTTGTATTTATAGTTATTTGTAGCAATTGCAACAAAACTTAACTCTGAAGCCTGATTCTTGATCACCACATTGTGTTGTATGACATGCCTAATTGTAGCCTCATCACCATTCATACCGCTGCTTGAGTGCTAGCTGGACTGGAACCAGAATTACTGTGTGTAGGCAGAAGGTCTGCAATCCAGACTGAAATTGAACAGAAATAGTATGTTTTCTACAGTAGGATAATGACCCTAAACACAGCTTGAAAAAAGCCATGGCCCTCACAGTCTTCCTAACTTTAGTATTGCAGAAAAAATTACATAAGACAACAAGCTGAGATTGTGGAATGAGATGATCAATACAGGTTGGCGATGTCACCACTGTTATAACAAGGCTTAAGTGTTTAGCAACTTAAAACGAGATGGTCCCTGTAATGTTTTTTAAGAATACATGTTGTATATACTCACTCCTCCTCCCCAAAAAAACATTTAATGATCCAAATCCATAATATAACAGCTGAGTAAACTGGGCATTTTTCTGCAACAAAAGGAACCCTGCTCTGCTCACAACGTGTAAATGTAACTAGAAAGAAAAAGAAAAGTAGAAAGAAAAATAGAAGAAGGCTAAGTCTTCTAAAAGTAGAATGAATTACAGTAAGTTGTGTTCTAAAACACAACAACTAAAAGGGTTTTAAAAGATTTTGTACATGGTCATTCTCTTTAAAGTGATCCGAATTAATCTGAAGACAAAGATTGGTTGTTTTTCATTATTACAACTTTCCTTAAGTTTTGTGTCTGCTGGAGAAAATGTATCCTCTTTAACAAGCTTTAAAATGTTTCTCGAAATAAAGCTAGTTGGGAATCACTGAATAACAAAATTTCAGAAGCTTAATTTATATGATGAACATTCAAACTTCATCATCTGATTTCTCTTGCTTAAGTCCAAAGAAACATACTAAACATTTTCTTTTGTATGATGGACATTACCTTGATATACTCCTGGACCCCAGCTCACCAGATCCAAAAATGATCAGATGCTATGTTTTGGTTCTCCTTATGCTTTCTCTGAATATGCCTGTCAAAATGCAAAAGATGTAAAATGACACTATACTGTGTAAGCTTTGTGCATGTGAGCCATCGCATCCCCCTCAAGAACAAAGAGGCGACACAAATCAGCAGCTGCAGTCAGCCACAAAGGTCTCTATGGTAACAGTACAGACCCCTCCACACCTTCGACATTATAAATTAGGCCCTGGCTCCTCCTACATGCAGCTCCTGCCCTTTCGCATACCTGAACTACTCTCAGAGAAATGTCTGCACCTTCATTTAGTCGCCCACAGAAAGCAGACGGTGGAAGGGGTGGGCGATAGTCATAAGTGTATTTACAGAAGACTAAAGCATATATACTGTGTATAAATATAGTTTTTAGTGCAGATGCAGATGTTCATCACCAACATCCAGTAAACAGCAGAAGCTTCCTTTTTTATAATAATACTGTGTACTGTGTATGACCTGAATATACTTTGTTTGCAAGTGTTTTATCAAACTTAACTGGATGAAGAGTTTCAGCAACTACACAAACTGTGTGCATCAAATAAGTTCCTCTCAAGGAACTGCAGGGTCACAGAAAAATATCTTTTCTGGAACTGTTTTTGAGGGGTTTTTTTTCCCCAGTGGACAGGTCTGACAGTGTTTTGCAGTGCCCCCTGGGTGCCAAAGTCAAGATCAGATAGAGGAAACAATTTAGCACCACCTGGAGGTAAACACCCAGTTTTCAAGTTTCTTTTTGAGCAACATTTACTTGGCTTTACTTCTTACTTCATTTAATTTGTATTTATTTACAACATAATTACTTCAGATTGACTCCTGCATACTAACACACTAATGGAGAGATAGAAACAGACCAGTATAAACACGTTGGCATCCAGTCTCACTAACCCAGGATTAATTTCTCAAATTTGTTGTTGTTTTTGTGGACTTATTGGACATACAAATTCATGTACACACAGATATGCGCTGTGTGTACATGTATGCATATGTTCATATAAAATCCAAGACATGAAACTCTTATACATCGAGAGACAATGTGCAGATGTGTCCCTGACCTCTCTGCGGGG